GGGCCGGGGCGTGCCCGTGCCCGAGGTGGTGCCCGCCTCCGCCGCGCCGCCCGCCGAGCCCACCCTCGCGCGCCCGCAGCCGCCGCCGCCGCGCGTCTACGTGCTGCCCGTCTTCGAGGTGAGCGCGCACGTGCTTGGCAATAAACCCCTTACCAATTCCGAGTACGTCAACTGCTAAGGTCATTAGTCCCGTAGTGCGTATTTCTTCGCGATCGGGAGCGGTCATTTTCCCACGCTGGATGGCGAACCCGCCAACTACCGGGGTTTCCCCAACGAGGTATCTCCCAGCCACAGACGCACCGCCCCAACTGAGACGAGCTCTAAACACGCGACTGGTATCCCGGCATATGTGGTGCTATAGTGCTTGTAAGTGTAAGTGTGCAAGCATGGGGTAAGGGTAAGACAAAGAAGAGGAAGCAAAGTTCGCGAGCGGTCCCTGCCTTGTCTATTAGGGTACTGTTCCAGCATTCGCCTGGTATTCAGAGGAAAAACGCCACCTATCAGGGAAGCCGGCCTCTAGAATTATCTTCCATACAAAGTCTAAATTCGACCTAGTTATGTAGCTAGTGTCGATAGTACTGCCTCCTTCGGGACTCGGGACTCGTATGGCCCTCGATCTTAGGCGCTGCAATGACATGAGTCGATGCTCTGAGCTACCTGAGCCGGTCAATAATCTGCTGTCTTCTACGCTTTGTCGCCAGAAAAATCTACTTTATTTATCTTATTTCTCTTGTTATTTGACAATGTAATTCGTTGCTCTCGCTGTGACGATGCATTTTTAGTAATGGCAGTATATTGCTGTATTTCGACATCAGAGTTGTCGTATATTGGAGACACCTTTATGTTTAACAAAGAGTGTCTTTCGTCACTTGTCACGAAAACCATCTACTTTTCCCGTCCTTTTTATTGAACAAAGCGGCCATGTTGTGATAAAACGCCTAAACTCTTACAATTTCTCTATTCCTTTTTCCAATCTCCAGTGCCTGCATATTGATGTTCACTATTCCACAGACATGATGACCACAATTCCACACGTTGGAGGTTTTATATGTGTGCGATATCAGCGCAGGTTGTAGACAGACACACATTTTGGCCGATTCAGAGCGACCTTTTATTTATTCGATCTTTAACATAATAGTTGACGTGTTTCTATAGCAGCAAAGCCATGTATATACTAGGTCATTAGGGCGAGCTATCTTTTACATCTACACGTTCCTGGCGTCTGTGTGTTGTTCGATGTTTCTGATTGTGTAGGTAAGCATGCTGCGTTTGTTGCTTGTTGACACTCGTGCGTGACCAAAAGACGTTCTCGTTTTGAGTGGTGCAAAACCTTAATTCTGCATTTCATTTAAAATCTCATGTACGTTCAAAAGACGATGACATTTATTTCAATTTGTCTGCTGCTACTGATCAGTTTATTTGTCACTAGGTCATTAGCTGGCTGTTACTGGTCTTTAATTCCAATGTGCTGTTGCTGTATGCTATTGAGGGTTTATGTATTTTGAAGTGCTTCTTACATTTAAACTATTTAATACAATTGTATTATGTTAGTAGTTGCTTGTTGGCTACCCTTTCGGTTCATGGAAAATTGTCAACTTTTACTGAATTTTATTAACGGCTATCATGCACCTATAATGATAAATTTTTCAATTAACTTGATCGATTATGATAATTCTGCTCATTTCCTACATGAAACCGTGCCTTTTCTCTCTCATTGCCTTGCGTCAGCGTATGAAACAGTTTCAGAACTAGAACGTAACACCAGTCCCAAAAGATAAGTAAAAATAAATTCACTCTTGTGCGCCCGTAAACTATTCATTTAGTATGTAGATCACTCAAGTTATTTCAAGTGCAATAATGACTTTACTTGATTTATTTATAATTTCAGTTCAAAATACCCTCCTTTCGTTGTCGTACAATATACTTGTCTGCTGATCCAGAAACCACGCATCCTCCAATATAGAAATTTTATAATATTTGAATATTCCAATGACCCCACACAAATTCTTACTAACGTTCCTAGCATTAACATTTTAAATAAAATATACTTTAATACTTTATATGAATATTCTCATCATGTTTTGCCCTTCCCTTTCTTCCCAAATCTTTGATAGTTCCTTACCAAACCCAACTTTTTGAGTAAGTTTTCCATCTTAAAACTAGGCTTGTCAAAATAACTGCTCACGTTCACGGTCTAGTGATTTCTTCTCGCGTCTGTGTGCCTCTTTCTAACTCACTCCAGAAACTTTCCGTCTGTAAACAAAACCACGTGTCTCGGAGCGTTTATTGCTTATTCGTTCGCCGCCACTTTCAATTGTACCGTGACGAACTTCACATTGCTGTAAGATTCCTATAAGGAGTGTTCCTTTTGCTGACACGTGTGACTTCTTCTGTTGATTAACATTAGCTATAATTGGAGTCCGGTCCATTCAAAGTAAAATTCGCTCTTTTTATCATCTTATTTATGTTATTTCGACTAAAGAAAAAATTAAATTTTTGTTCTTGACACTCTTGTCACTAAATTTCCAGTCTAATTATTCTAAATCTAAACTTCGCCCAATATATACAATTTTGGTTAAATTACTTAATCAGAGCTTATTACCAGTCTCAATATGCATTCAAGATGTTAGAGAAGTTACGGAA